TATATATGCTAAAAAGGATGTTTCAATTTCGGATGGTTGAAGGCACATCCATTAGAGCCCACTTAGATGAGTTTAACAAACTCATGATGGACTTGAAGAACGTCAATGAGGCCTTGCCTGATAACAAATAAGGTATGATGTTGTTGACATCTCTACCGGATTCTTTTGAGCACTTTAAATATTCATTACTACAGGGGCGCATTATGATTACCTTAGAAGAGGTAAAGTCTACTTTGTTTTGTAAGGAGTGGCAAAAGAAGTTATGAGAAGATAACTTAATGCAAAATATGGCGCAAGGTTTAGTTATCGGGGGTAGAGACGGACGAAGAGAATTTGGAGGTAATAGATGGAAGAGCCGTTCTAAATCGAAGTCCAATGTTAGGAATCGTCGATGAGTTAAGGTGGCAGTCTGCAGGTGATGGTAATATTGTTACCGCGGCAAATGATTGTTCTAGCGATGCCGATGACGTGTTAACAGTCACCACGAGATCATTAGGTGATGATTGGATACTTGAATCTAGATGTTCTTATTCTATGACTTCTCATAGACACTAGTTTACTACCTATTAGTGCACGGAGGGTGGTAAGGTGCTTATGGGAAACGGTGCTACTTGTGAAGTAGTAGGGATCGGAATAGTTCGGATTAAGATGCACAATGGGGTGGGTGCAAACGTTGACAGGTGTAAGGCATGTATCGAAGTTGAGAAAGAACCTTACCTCGTTGAGTGCTCTTGACCAGTTACAATATCGGATTTCCGCTGAATGTGGAGTTTTAAAGGTCTCTCGAGGTGCGCTTACTGTGATACGAAGATAGACTGACTGTGGGTTGTATCTCTTCCCAGGAAAGACGGTGATTGGCTTGTCTACTAGATTCTCTAATGCTTCAGGTCAAGACACAACACAGTTATGGTATATGAGACTTGGACACATGAGTGAGAGGGAGATGATTGTTATGAGACAAAGGGGTCAACTAGGAGGCTATCAAATTGAGAAGATGAATTTCTGTGATCACTGCGACATGGGTAGTCAGTGGAGAGTGAAGTTCAATGCGGCAGTTTAGCATACCTCGGATATTGTAGACTACGTTCACTCAGACTTACGGGGACTTTCTCAAGTTTTGTCCAAGAGTGGTGCTAGGTATGTGTTGTCTTTTGTTGATGACGTTTCGAGGAAAATATGGATTTGTTTTCTTAAGCGTAGGAGCGAGGTGCTTGGCTGGTTCAAGTCATGGAAGGCGATGATCGAAAAGCAGATAGGAAGAAAGATCATGTGCCTGAGAACTGATAAAGGGTTGGAATTCTCTTATGATGAGCTTGATCAGTTTTGCTTAGAGGAAGGCATAGTGAAATACCGCATTGTTACTGATTTACCACAGCTGAACGGAGTTGCAGAACTGATGAACATAATTATATTGGAGAGAGCTCGCTATTTACTCTCCAATGCTGGATTAGATGAAGATTTTTCGGCTGAAGCCATGAATACTGCTTGTTGATTAGTGAACAGATCACCATCACCAACAATTGATTGGAAAACTCCTAAGGAAGCGTGGTCAGGTAAGTCTGCTGATTACACTGGATCGAGACTGTTTTGGTTGCCCTGCTTATGCTCGTGTGAGCGATGGCGCGTCGGAGCCGAGGGCAAGGAACTGCTTATTCCTAGGTTATGCACATAGGGTGAAGGGATACAAGCTGTGGTGCACTGAGGAAAATTCACTCGGTTTTATGTTCAGCAGAGATGTTACCTTTGACGAATCTACTCTATTTCAGAAGAAGAGTGAGGAATCAATTGGGGAAAGAGATCTGGACAGTGTTCAGAAACAGGTGGAGTTTCAGGGAGAGCTTAAACATATTCAAAGTACAGTAGGTGTGACAGTTTCTATAGAGTCGCTAGATTCCATAGCAGTTGATAGTTGTTTCGAGGTTGCAGTTGATGTAGCTTCAAGATGGTTAGTGGAAGTGAATGTGATAGAGCGACAGTTATATGCAGATATTGAAATAGATAATTTGGGTCCAGTAGAGACAGTTTTGGGTATGGAGATGTAGAGAGAGACTGTTTGAATGTTGCGAGTGACTTGGAGGAGTTACGTCTGGAAAGCTTTAAAGCATGTCAATATGCAATTGAGAATTTCTGTAAGTACCCTACTTGCTACACGTCATAAATTGTCTAGACTGTCATTGTGTACTTGGATGGAGGTTGAGCAATTATACCATGCTAGTGCTGTTGGTTGCTTGAGTTATCTCATGGATAGTACCAGGCTTGATCCATCACATGCAGTTAGGAAAATATATGTGATTAATCAAGGTATACATTGTGATGTTGTGAAGTCAATTCTCCTGATTTTGTTGGGGATGGCAGACGTTGAGGTATGTTTCAGAGGATGTAGTTTAGGTAGTGTGGCAGTAACTGGGTTTGTGAACCCAAGTCATGCGGGGAGCCTGAAAGATAGTTGATTACTGAGCAGTTATGCTTTTGCTTCTATTAGTGGTGTTGTGTTTTGGAAGATGTGGTTTAGAGACATGGTGACTACCTTAGGAGCTAAAGAGGAGGTGTGGTCTAATTACTTGATTAGTGATGTTGAGTGGTGTTCGGTAGAAGTGAGAAATATCACTGGCGTATCGAGTTCATTGGTGACCGAAATTTTTGCGTCAGATATAGCATGTCAAGAGAGAAGTGACCGTGAAGAAGGTTCTTACAGTGGTGATTCCTACGGACATGTGGACTGACTTCATTCCTCTAGACAAGTTCAAGCTTTGCTTAGGCTTGATAGACATCTGTGATGGTTGAGCGCCCGTCGGGGCGTCGGGAGAGCAGTAAAGATGATGAGCACTATGACTTGGCTTCAAACATCGAGCCAAAGCGGAGAATTGTTAAATTATGTCTTGAATTTGAACCGTTATGAAACTTGACCTGGTTGGATAAATACAAAAATAAACCTGACCCGATTAGACAAAAGAAGGGGCTTCTTTGTTTAATATTTATATGCTTATGTGGTGGGTCCAAATCAAAGGAAGCATAAGTTGTTGACTTATTGAGCGTGGGCTCCCAAGTGAGCTAGAGAAAAGAGAACAAAAGTTCAAAAAACAAATATAGGGTTTTCTAGGCTAAGCCCTAGGTTGTCCTCTTTCTAGAACAGTAGCCACCTAGAGTTCCTCGGGGTCTAGAGAAGGGAGCCACAAGAGTCTCTCTCTCCTCTTGAAGTGGCCGAGCACTTGAGTGCTTCCTTGGGAAGATGTAGCCGCACAGTAAAAGAGAAGAGAGAGGTCAGTGGGTTCTACGGGTGAGCATTGTTTGGGCGGCGCGGTTCCTAACATGGGATCGAGAACCGCCTACTAAGGACTGGTTCCGAAAAATTGAAATCGGGAACTGCCCGTTCGTTCCATAGATCCACCCGAGAACCGGATGCTGGTCCAATTCAGTTCCCGGATGGTTTTGTGAAACCAGTCCCACTAAGTTTCACGCAAATAGAGGTGACTGAGAGTGAGAGAGGGAGACGATGAATGGCTAGAGGCGCGGCCGTGAGTTGATAGGAGTTGAGAGTCGAGCTTCAAATTAGGGATTTTATAATTTTCATTTTTCTAAAAATGTTTTCTTTGTTTTGGTTGATTTTTTTTTTAAATTATATATATTTATATATTACTGGTCCAGTCCGGGTGGGTGGTTCCACGCTTAGAATCGAGAACCGAATTGGTGCTCACTGGTTATAGTAAATTAGAATCGGGAACCGGACCGGTCCTCATGAGAATCGCCGGTTCTGGGCCGATCCGGTCCGGTTTCAGGCGATCCGGGCGATTCCCGATTCCTTTGAACACCCCTAGTGGGTCCTTTCCTTCATGCGTGTGAATGGCCGCAAAGTAGCCCTCGAAAGAGCAGGAGCCACACCTTGCTTCATGCAAAGAGAATGAGCCCTTCGAGCCGCCGCACGAGGAAACGTTCCGAACAAGGAGCGTTGGACACGTGGTGAATTAGAGTTGTGAATTATTTATTTTATCCAAATGAGTTATTTATTTCTAAACTCTTGGGGTTTGGATGTAATTTAAGTGCGGGAAACACTTGAGCATTGTGAGCGATTGTAATTTGAATTTTCCAATTATTAGTAGATTATTTGCTGTGGTAATATTTCGCGTTGACTTAAATTGCAAGATCCCGAGTTAGCTTCCGCATGCGTTATATCACAACAGCCAGTATCATGAGCCTTTCCTCTATTCTATTATTGATTTTTGGCGTCTCCACTTGCTCTCTCCCCTTCTTCTGGAGAATATTTTTCCTTGACAATTATTTTGTATGATTGTTGTGAAATTCACGTGATCAATCATTGTGAATGATCTGTTCTAATTAATGATGGGTATAACCCTTGACAAATACTTTCCCTTCTTATACAAACATTTTTGCTTTCCATTTTCTTTGGAGAACGTGTTATTTCTTCTTTCTTTTTTTTGGGAGGGGGGTGGGGCGTGGGGGGTGGGGGTTTGTTTATTATATCATAAACAAGTAAACAAATAAAATTAACTTGGTTCCCACATGAATAGCCCACAAGCAACCTTAGAATGCTTCGGATTGTAGGATACTATCAATGCATCGATTCCTTTCTATCGTTAGATGATGAAGCGTCTCGCTTCAAAATTCAAAGCAATTGTTCTTCCATTGTCTCTTCTTTTTGGACGGTGGAGACATTGGCTCAGCGTAAGATGGTCGACTCGGTCTTACACAGTAACATCATCTCCACTCCAACTCTTTATTATAATCTCTCCTATGAAGCTTCGTATGTAATTCACCCACCAAAGATGCTTCCAATATTATATAATTCCTCACTCATAGGATGCCTGCATCACATTGGCGACAAATCTGTGAGTATCTTTTACCATAATTGGCACAAAGATGCCAACTGCGCTAAGCAACAATTTCAACTTTTATAGGCTTCCGAAAGAGCTTATAAATTTAGCTATTCTCAGCAAAGTCTCTGCAGAAAGGCAGCTTGGTCAATTTCCTACACTTTCCCCTAAATGGAATTCCAAGTTTTTGCCTTTCCCATCATAGTCTCCTGCATCTTCATCTTCGCTTTACTAAAATTATGTCACAAGTCCGATGTGAAAGGCCTTTCCAAGCTTCCTCCCGGTCCAAGGAAGCTCCCACTCATAGGAAACTTGCACCAGCTTCTTGGGTCACCGCCTCATCGTGCATTGCGGGACTTGGCCAAGAAATATGGGCCGTTGATGCATTTGCAGGTCGGGGAAGTTCCTCATGTGGTCATTTCTTCGGCCGAAATGGCCAAGGAGGTGATGAAGACCCACGACCTTACTTTCGCAAGTAGGCCTCCGCTCCTTTGTACCGAAGTAATGTCGTATGGATCCACCGACATTGCATTCGCGCCTTACGGTGAATACTGGAGGCAACTTAGAAAAATCTGCACTTTGGAGCTCTTGAGTGCCAAGAGGGTCCAGTCTTTTAGGCATATTAGGGAAGAAGAGATTTCGAATCTCGTCAAATGGGTCACTTCTAATGCGGGCTCTCCAATCAATCTTACTCAGAGACTATTCTCAACTAACTATGGTGCCACTTCGATTGCAGCTTTCGGGAAGAAATTCAAAGAGCAGGAGGAGTTCATCTCAATAGTCACCGAATCAGCTAGATTAGCGGCTGGCTTTGAGGTTGGGGACGTGTTCCCCTCATCAAAGTGGCTTCATGTGATTAGCGGGATGAAGCCACGATTGGAAAAGTTGCATCAGCAAGCAGACCATATTATGAACAACATCATCAGAGAAAAAAGAGAAGAAAGGGCTAAGAGAAGAGATGATGAAACGAGACATGAAGATTTGATTGATGTTCTCTTGAGGTTTGCCGATCCTGGTGGTCCTGAATTTTCCCTGACCACTGACAACATCAAAGCAGTAATACTGGTACGGAAGTTTTTCTGTTTTTCCTCGTGCTCAATTTTCCTCTGAAAAATGAAGTGCAGCTTTGCGTTTTCAAATCAGTGGGATTTTGACTTCAGAAGAAAGTCAAAGTTCGACGTGGGTGTCCTTCACTTATGGACATGATATTGATGTGAGAAGTCCATCAACAATGCTCGGCCCCAATTAAATTAGCGTGAACCTCGAAAAGATACGATCGAATATAACTTTCATGCTTGAACATGCTATTGAATAGTTCCAGACAATCTTTTCTTTGTCAATCTGAGGATTAAAATTCGAGTTATTCTAACAAAAAACGGAACACAAATTGTGCATGCAGGACATTTTCACCGCCGGGAGTGAGACTTCAGCCACACAGGTTGATTGGGCATTGGCCGAGATGATGAAGAACCCAAGAATCCTCAAAAAGGCGCAGGCCGAGGTGAGAGAGGTCTTCGACAGGAGAGGAAAAGCAGACGAGACGGGGTTGCCTGAACTAGAGTACCTGAAGTTGGTAATAAAAGAGTGTCTGAGGATGCACCCTTCTGTTCCCCTGCTGCTCCCGAGGGAATGCAGAGAGAGGTGCGAGATAAACGGGTACGAGATCCCAGTCAAGACCAAAGTGGTCGTGAATGCATGGGCGATTGGCAGAGACCCCAAGTACTGGGACAACCCCGAGGCCTTTTACCCGGAGAGGTTCAAGGACAGCCCAGTCGATTACAAAGGGACTAGCTTTGAGTACATACCATTTGGTGCAGGAAGGAGGATATGTCCAGGGATGAACTTTGGGCTTGCGAACGTGGAGCTTCCACTCGCAATGTTGCTGTACCACTTTGACTGGGAGCTTCCAGAGGGAATGAAGAGTGAAGAGCTGGACATGAGTGAGTCATTGGGTGTGACTCAGAGGAGGAAGCGTGATCTGTACCTGATTCCCAAGCCCTATCAGCCTACCTTCGCCTGTTGAGACCTTCTTTAGTAGTTATTATGAGGGTTGTTAAGGTTACAGCTGTTTGTCAGCAGTGACGTTGGGGAAGAAACATAAAGAATGCAATTATACGGTTGCGAGGGAGGAAAAGAAGGTTCATGTACTAAATAATGCATTGTAGGAGATCAATCGACTTCACAATGCCACCTGCTCCTTATTGTTTTTAGCTGCTGGTACGAAGGATTGTTAAGGTCACAATTGTTTATCATTCATTGGCCTGAGTGCTTCTGGATGAGCGACGTCTCTGCATATCTTTTACATAGAATACTCATATTTCAATAATTGGGTCTAAATTCTCATGTACATGGGATTGCTATGCATGTAAAGGCCACGGTTTCAGGTATTTACATAGAATGCTCGGTTTGAATGTCAAACCAAACATGTGGGGTTTAGCCCACCTATAAAAATAAATCAATCCTTTCAAAATCATATCCAATCAATCCCAAAACTAGACTCCCTCCAAAGACCGTCCTTTGTTTATGTTTTTTCCCTCTCTAGCATTTAGTATTTATCACATTGCTATAAAGAATATAATTGGATTGAAACAAATTCAAAATATTGGATATTTTATCAATTGGATTGAAAGGTTAAGATAAAAATAAATCTGCCAAAAAAATTAGAATATATTTTGTCATTTAGCCTATAGTTTTACATGGAAAGGTTTGTCACGCCACGTTAGTTATATTTGCTTGGCCAAAAATGCGATTATAGTTGGCTAGCTGAAACTCAAACCCAATAATCCCATTTACCTTTTCCCGCATACTAAACAATGAAAAAAAGAAAAGGCTGAATTTTCAATTTACTAATTTTGTTAATAATAGTCGGTACTTTCATGGTATGAATTTTGCTTCTTTTGCATTATAAATGCTTAGACTTATCACCAGTATAAGTACAATCTTACAAATAACAAAGTCTTTAAATGGAAATAATTTTTTTCAAAGCACAAGTTATAGAAAAAGCCCAGTTCGACTAAATTCTAAAGATACATACAGATCTTGTCCTCTCGCACAGGGTAAGATTCCATATGTAGGATGAGGGCCTAACCCCAAGAGTTACTCTAATTGAGACATCATGCTCTAATTCAAATCATTTACACCTAACACTTGACAACTTAAAGGATTTCTTGATGATTCTTGATAAAAGTACTAACATGCTCGAGTAATGTGGTCCAAACAATGTTTGGGGAATAATACTTTTACTATGGCAGCGTGTCACAATAGAAGTTTGTAACATTCTAACTATACAAATTCAAGGAAAATAGCACGGTCGTCCATTTATTCAAAAGAAGCAGCCTCATACAAACCAATATAAACTTGTTCTCATAATATATACTTATTGGATAAAATGGCAAGCTGATTAGAAGGATCAAAATTATAAAGTTCACAAAATAAAAGTTATACATTTCACTAGCTAACTAGAAAACTCAAATAACCAAATCATATCTCCCGTGACTAACCAAACTAAACTCAAGAAAAATAATTGTACATCATATACACAACTATCTCAAGCTATACGAAAAATAAAACTCCAAAAAAGTTCAACGTTGAAATTGTTCTCGTCCTACTTAATCAGTAGCTGTAAATCTGAAAAAGATTGAAAATGAATGGCATGAGCAAACCAACTTTCAATGAGTTGTAAAATTCTCTTCTAAATAAATCGAGTATGCATGGTGTATAGTATTAATCATTTCAAAATAAAATACACTTCCCAGACCCAAGTTGTCACACGCCTTAAAGACCAAAGATATATTCATATAGTTTCATATAAGTTCATATGAATTTGAAATATTTAGTTAAACAATAATATCAAAGTGGTCCCATCCGCTGACTAAGCTAATATGCTCAGTGTCAAAACTACGGCTATCCTTAATTCCTTGTGATAAGACCTACCGAGATGCCCTTTTTAGAGTAATCTTTCTCTACATCAGCTGATGGCTCGACCCAACAGGATGTCTTGAGATGGTGTTCATACTGACAACCTCGCACCAGATTCAAATCCTAGCGACAATGAACTCAAAACCACCAACTTATCCTCCAATTTTAAACTAATTTAGAAAAGCATTTCATAATTAAGTTCACAGATATAGCTTTTCATAATTCATTCCATCAAGAAGGATACATGTCATATAACATTTCTTAAATCATTTCACAGATAAATCAACTCAAACTATTTCAAGAGATGCTTTACTATGAAGAGGATGGCCCAAAGCTTGTTGAAGAACTTCTACCTTTTGCCCAGTCTATATAGTCTCTTCAAATGATGCAACCTTGTTCTCCATCTCATCGAGAGTACCCAAAACGCGACTGAGCAATTGCTCAACCATCCCAGAGCTTTCTTCCTTCGCGCTAGACTCCCCTAAGTCTTCACTTTCTTTTTTTCTGGCGACAAAGTTCCTTCCAACGGTGCCTCTTTCTTTACGTCCACTGTCTGTTTCTGCTTCCTCTTTTTGCTCATATCTCCTTCTGTTCTCTTCATCTTTTCTTCCAACAGAATCCTCACTTTCTCCTCATTCTTCTCAACTACTTTTACAACTTCTCCTTTCGAGACAATCTAGCCAACGGTTGTTAGTTGAAATTGCATCTTCCTTACAGTTTCTATTCCCACACGAACATTTGACATCTTCTCAGTTTCCAGCTCGTCAGCGTTTTCACTCCCTTTCCTCTAAAAGCCTTCACGAGACCACCATACAGGAGTTTGCGTGGCTTCTTTCGAATGGTGCAATGCATGTGCAGAAAGATAGTGTGGAGAAGGCTGAATGCAACTCCATTCAGGATTTTCCACATAACCCTGACGTAATTATGGTTTGTTGCTTCTATTGTTGCGGTTCTTATTATCAGTAGTCAATTCCTAGTTATTGTACGAGCAAATTTCCATTGATGGTTCTCATTGGAAAGAAGTTTTGGCAATTTTTTCCTAAAAGTTTGAAATAACAGATAATAATATTAATACATTAATGTGGGCCAGGGTGTGCATGTGAAGCTGAGGTTACGCGGGCCGAATAGAGAATATCATTTCTATCCTTATGATCAAGTCTTCTTTCACAATGCTTCACGAACTCTTTCACAATGCGCACAGCCCTCACGATGTCAAGTTCTACAAGCATCGGGATGAACTCAGAAATGTCGGTCCTTACAAAAGTCTCAGGGTCCTTTCTAGTCATTGTTGACACATGATTTTTAGCTCATTTTTTTTTTATATTTTCAAAAATCTCAAAATTAGGAATAGGAATCTTGGCCAAGCCTAGAAACCTATTTCTAAACCAAAAAATAATTTTTTTTTTTGCATTTTTCCTTAATTTCTTTTAGTCAAAATAAGTGAGAAAATCAAGAAAAATAGCAAATGGAATCAGAAAATTCCATAAAAATAGTCATTAGTCTTATTTTAAATCCAATTTCATGAATACATCATAAATTTTGAAAAATATCAATCATGTATATGTTTTTTCCCAAAATTGGGCAAAATCAAACCCAAATTGAACCAAAAATGCAATTAAATCTTTTCTAGTCATTTTTAAGTCATGGTGTCTTCACAACAAATGATTCTGGGACCTTGAATTTCATAATAGTCGGTCCAATTGCACAATTTGACATAAAAATAAAAAATCCCCAAAATTTAATTGAAAATTAAGAATTTTGAACTCAAATTGGGAATCGTGCCCAATATGAAATTGTCGATCCATGAGACCATCATTTCTAGGGTTAATCAGATATGGGTAATTCAATTTTGGCATCAATTTTGCCTAATCAGGTCATTAGGACATCAAATTGAATAAAACCATATTAACACGAATACAAAAATGTGAATCTTGGACACAATTATAACAAAAATTAGGGAAAATCATATATTTGGGGTTCAAAATATGATGGGGAATTCAATTTCGGGGTTTAATTTTGAAAATTAGGTCAAAATTGAGTTTAATTTGCGAATTTAGATCAACCCGGGTCTGCCGGGTCGATCGGGTCAACCCGACCTGACCCGGGTTGTTCATCTCCCTTAATCGACACACCAGACCACACTAAACCCAGAAAAAAAACCATTTCAAGCCCGCAACTTCGCCGATCTTTTCCGGCTAATTTGGCACGTGAAAATCGACTGGGCCAGCTGGAAAATCTCCAGCTGGCACCAGTGAACCAATTGGAAATCGGTTCTAACCGAATTTGGGCGGGAATTTTGATCAACAAAAACCAAGAAAAAACTGAACATTGAAGGGGAGGTGTTCGACGAATCCAGAGAGAGAAAGGAGAGAGAAGCAGAGAGAAAAAGTGCAAAGTTTAGAGAGAGAATAGGGAGTTGAGGTCCCCTGATCGAGTGTCCGGCGCCGACGAACAAGACGGCGCCGGCGAATCGATCATTCAAGGTAGACTTCCTCCTCTGTTGATCGGTGCCAGAGCTGATCATGAAGCTCTGAAACTCGGTCTCATTCGGCGTTGTCCCGACGTTTTTCGACGAAGCCAAAATAGCCAGATTGAAGTCCAAGTGATGAAGAACAGCTCCATAGGTTCCGATTAGCCCGAGAACTCCGATTTGTCATCGAACGAAGCAGGTAAAAATCAATCCCAATCACGGTTTTCTAAAAAAATTCCCGGAATTGAGTTTTATACACATGTGATTTTGTTAATGATTTTTTCGCATTTTGATGTTTAAAACATGTTTCTGATCCCATTTTGTCTGTTTGATTGCATTTGGATCATTAAAAATGCACAAAACGAGTCGGTCAACCATTAAAACCTCCCCGCCGGAATTCGAGTGCCCTCGCCGGAGCATTGTCGTGGCCGTAGGGCCATTCAAGTCAGTCTTTCTTGATCCTTGTTTGGTGTTTTGTTAGTGATTAGGATCGAATTAGATGGCTAGGGCGTTGTATGTTGTGGTTCTAAGGTTCGGTTAGTCGGTTTAGGTTAGTAGCAAATTGGCATTTTCTGACGATATTTTCGCCGATCGGTGGCGGTCCAATGGCCAATCAATTGGTTTAGTTTGATAGA